ACACTTGAGAGGTTAGTTTGTCATAGCCTGCAGGATCCAGATCCCCTCCTGTCAAGGAGAGCATCAGGTAAGAGAACCTCCCATCAGTGAGGGACAATTTGCACTATCTCTTTTGGAGTTTGTGATATGGGCTCTACTGGTAGCAGGAGCTCCTTTGCATATTAGGCCACACCCCCCTAGTGTAGCCAATCCTCCAAGAGCTTACAGCAGCCCCAGTAAGAAGAGCTCTGTAAGCTCTTGGAGGATTGGCTACACTAGGGGTGTGTGGCCTAATATGCAAAGGAGCTCCTACTACCAGTAGAGCCCAACTTCCCCCTCCCCAGAAACATGTTTGAATGATCCACCATGTGCCCAGATCCCAATTTGGTGCACCACAACAATCCACCCTCCTATGGTTATATTTATTCTAGGGGGAAAGCTAACACAAATTACAAGGTATGATTATTAGAATCCATGATGGGTCCCTTCTGAGTGCCTACAAGAATTCTTCAGGTTGCATTAAAGCAAAGGAGACTGGCTGCTTTACACATAGTGATCTTTAGACACTGTCTCCAAAAAGCAGACCAAAATGCCTTGGCAGACTGTAATGCTCCCCCCCCCCCAATACTGATAAGAATATCAGCAGGATTACACCTACAGCATTCAATAAAATTATTGGTGCAGAAATTAAAACTATGTTCAGATATCTATTATTCTGACTTTTCTAGTTATTTTTTCTAGCTATCTCAGACTATTTCTGCGGGCAGAATGATATGCGCTTTCTCACCTCCTCCCTTCCTCACTTTCTTTCTCCCATCTCTAATACCCCCAGCAATCTTGTTCACATGGCCAGTTCCCTGTCCTCAAGGAACAAGACTTTGGGGGCATTTCATGCTACTGCAGGAGGTGAGAAAGTTGTGCTGTATAAGCATATGTCATTCACCCCCAGAAGTATTCTGGAGGATATAAACTAGTGTATAGTTGATAAATGTTCAGCTTCATAGCTAGTCAAACCACAGCTTAACCATCTGGGGCATCTATGCTTGGAAAGAATGATGAAATGTCCCACTTTCAGGTTAGATATCCCCACCCAAATCCTGTATCTCTATGAGTCAGTGAGACTTGAACATCTTTATGTGTGTGTGATAGATCAGGAATGGACTTTTTCTTCTAGCAGTGATCATGGTTAATCTACTGTACCCACACTATACTGAGAAATGGTGGGAGAGATTCCATATTTAATAAAACAGACCCTACTTTAGATCTACCATAAAAATATTAGCCCACTGATTGCTGGCATATCTCTTGACACATTCTAACCTGCAACAGCTCCAGACACCATGGTTGCAATCACTGGGCTCTGTCGGCTGCTCAGTTTGGCCAGAGGTTGGAAGAGGAGTCCATCCCTGGCCATGGCAAACAAAATTCGGGGCATTGGGAACATGGATCCCAACAGGCTATGGGGAATAAAGAGAAAGAAAGAATACACTCAATTACAGGCCTTTCTTCCCTCTCTTTATCCTGTCTCTTTTTCAGCTTGTTGTAGTAGGAGGAATACAGTACAGATTTATAAAATTGTGAATGGGTGGAGACAGAAGGGGAATAAATTATCTACTCGTCATTCTAGAACTCAGGACTACCCTGGCAATAAATTCAGACTAAATAAAACAGACTGACAATTCATTCAGGAAGGACAAAAAGAAATTACGTCTTCACAAACTGCAATTTCATTGGGATTGAATGTGTTGGCCAAAGATGTAACAATTGCATTGGCTGCTGGCTTAGATGATTTCAAAAAGGAATCAGACAAATTCACAGAGGGAAATTCTATCAGTAGCTATGAGCTATGAAAACTGAACGGGACCTGTATGTTCAGAGGCTGCAGTCTGGTGTAGTGGTTAAGTGCACAGACTCTAAACTGGGAGAACCGGGTTTGATTCCCCACTCCTCCACTTGCACCTGGCTGGATTACCTTGGGCAAGCCATAGTTCTGGCACAGCTGTTCTTGAAAAACAGCAGTTTCTGTCAGAGCTCTCTCAGCCCCACCTACCTCACAGGATGTTTGTTGTGGGGAGGGGGAGGGAAAGGAGTTTGTAAGCTACTCTGAGACTCCTTTGGGTAGTTGGCGGGGTATAAATCCAATCTCTCCTCTTCTTCTTCTGCATGTCTTTAAAAACCAGTAGGAGAGAGAACCATCTGGGGAGGGCTGTGTTTATCTTTCTACAAAGCTACACTTACCTTGTGGTCAGAGCACACAGTGACCCTGCAGCTACAGCATATTTGGCCATGTTCCACCCGATGTACTCAAAAGCCACTGGCAGAGGACTCATGGTGTCAAGGAGGTGGTATGGCATCATCAATGTCAAGGCAGCAGAAACTCCAAAGTAGGCCAGGAAGCAGATGAGCAAGGATAGGACAATACCCATGGGAATGGATTTGCGGGGGTTCTTCACTTCTTCCCCTGGGAGACAAAGACATGAGTAGTCATGTGTGTGTGTAAAGTGCCCCCAAGCTACAACCAACTTATGGTGACACGATAGGATTTTCAAGGCAAGAGACATTCGAAGGTGGTTGGCCATTGCCTGCCTATGCACAGTAACGCTGGACTTCCTTGGTGGTCTCCCATCCCATCCAAGTACTCACCTGGCCAGACCAGCCATGTTTAGATCTGATGAGATCAAGCTAGCCTGAGCCATCCAGGTCATGACTGAGTGGACATACCCTTCTGAAATGACCAGTTGGCTGCTTATGATCAGATTGTTCTTGTTCTGGGGTTCTAGCAATTGTGTGACGATGTGGGGCTTTAAGTACTCTAAATGGAGCAGCTATGGGTTTCTGCTGCGAGAACTTGTTATTCTCACAACAACACTGTAGAGCACTGTCTGCTCCTCTTTTCAGTACAACTGGTAGAGCATAACGGCAACATTAAAAATGACTGACTTTTCCTGCAAGGTGATCTTTCTGTCTTGGTTTTCCTAGCTGATAGTTGGGGATATTAGTGTGCAACTCTTCCCTTGCCTACCTGTAGTAGCAATGCAATCAAATCCAACAAAAGCATAGAAACAGGTAGCAGCTCCAGCTAGGGTCCCGCTGAAGTAATAGGGCATGAACCCTCCAGCCCCATAATGCCAGGTTCGGTTGCCAGTCACAGATTGGTTGCTGTGAAGAAAGGGAGGATCAAAGAGGTCTTTGTGAGAGGGATCTGAGCATAGGGAAAATGCTATTGACAGCATAATGAATGAGAGTTTTAAGATCATCACTGACTTTATTTCTGGGCTCATTGTAAGATGGTGGTTCTGGCCCCTCATCCCCTATTTAGCCTTGGACCAAGGTATTTGAAGGATCACCTGCTCCTATATACTTCTGCCCAGACGCTATGTTTGTCACTTCAGGTCTTGCTTCATGTTCCCTTGCCTTCACAACTAAAGTGGGTAGTCATGAGGGAAAGCCTTTTCAGTGGTAGCCCCCTGTGCCTGGCACCAACACTGAATATTTTTCAACACTAGACAGTTTATAATTTCATCAAGTTTTTCATTATTTGCTCCCTTTTTTACAGTTCCAGTTTTACAGCACTATGGTTGACATTGTTTTAGATTACTACCTGTTTTCTGTTGGTTCTATATGGTTTATTTTCTAGTTAGTTTTGGGGGGTGGAGTGGATTCATGTTATTATGAGGGCTGATTATTGGGTTCATTTTTTATTTCATGAGTTGACCTTCTGATATGCTGTAAACCATTTGGGGCACAGGTTCTAAACAAAAAAAAAGCAAATCTTATTTCTTTTAGGGCCAGCATGGTGTCGTGTAATGACTAGGACTGAGGAGAGCTGCATTCAAATTCCTGTCCAGCCACAAAGTTCATTGGGGCTGCAGTCACACATGCTTTTATTTCTGACTTAGCTGCAAATGCCTAATGGATCTAAAGTACACGATCAGACGGCAACATCTGGGAAAGGTCCCGCAGTTGTTGGCAACCTATGCTGCCCCACCACAGAAACGGAGTTAAAGACACTGGGGAAAGTCCAGTCCTAACACTTGCTGATGGTCCACAGACAGATTTCCCCTAGTCTGATCACTCAAGTGCGCACTCTGGCTATCGGGATGGACTGCTCAGTCCATCCTGACTCAGCGCCATTTTTTCCTCCTTAGCAAGATGCATATAACAGCATAATCAGTCCACTCTTTGTGTGGTGTTCGATTCCTCATTTATGTGCATGTGCACAAAAAGGCAAAAAAAAAACCCCACTCGCCCAAATGTGCCATCTGATCGCGCAATGACCGGCTGCACCTGCAGCAAAATGGATTATACTGGGATGTGTCATCAAGCAGCTCCTTGCCAAATACCAATGGAAGGAACAGGAGCGCTTCCCAGCCGCACCAAATGGCATGTCTGACTGCAGCCTGGGTGGCCTCAGGCAAATCACTGTCACTTTAGTCAAACCTCCTTACATGGTTATTGTGGGGATCAACTTAAGTGTCCTCAGCCCTTTCGGGAAAGGGTGACATACAAATGTTATCAATAAAATAAATTCTAGGACGTTCTGTGCTGAGGTTCCTCGAAGCCCCATGTTAACAAACAGTGGGAATACTGAAAACATGCACTTACTTGGGGATTCTTTCTTACAGCCAGTGACTAGGGACATGGTACTAATGGACTTTGCTCCCTACAGCTTGATTTCAAAGCACTGTGAGACCTAGTGTTGTGTAGTGGTTATGGTGTCAGACTAGAATCTGGGAGACCCAGGTCTGAAACCCTAGTCTGCCATGGAAACTTGCTGGGTGACCTTGGACCAGTTACACACTCTTTGCCTAAACTCCCTTCGTTGTTGTCAGGATAAAATGGAGGCAGGAGAGGGACAGGGGAATAAGTCCCTGTTGATTCTCCTGGACCTTTCCAAGGCATTGATACCATCACACCATGGTATCATTCTGAAAAGAAGAAGAATATATTGGATTTATACCCTGCCTTCACTTCCTTCTCAGAGCAGCTTACAAACTCCTTTCCCTTCCCCTCCCCACAACAGACACCCTGTGAGGTAGGTGGGACTGAGAGAGCTCTGAGAGAACTGTCCTTGAAAGAACAGCTCTGACAGAACTATAGCTTGCACAAGGTCATCCAGCAGCTGCAAGTGGAGGAGTGGGGAATCAAACCCAGTTCTCCCAAATTAGAGTCCATGCACTTAACTACTACACCAAACTGGCTGGCTGGCTGGGCTGTAAGTAGAGGGCACTGTGCTTCGGTGATTCTGCCCTTACTTGATCAAACAGTTTCCAAAGATAGTGCTGGTGGACTGCTACTTGGCCCTGTGACATTTATGCTTATGGGGTCCTCCATAAGGCTCACCTGATGCCTACTTTCCTTTAGGCACCAGACTAAAACATAACTTTTTACCCAGGCTTTTAATTAAGGGTTTGTTGTGTCCGCTGACCGCCACCGGAGGTCAGCGCACACTCCTGAGCTTCAGTCCGGCACAACAATGGGACTAGGATTCTAGTCCCTCCACTGGGGGGAACCAATGGGACCTTGGCGGGAGATCCAAACCCACCAATGGGACCAGGGGAAGCCCCTGGACTGTGTATATAGTTGGCCTGCCGGCCGTTAGTCTTTAGTCTTGTTGTGTACCAGTAAAGCCATGCTGATCACTACATCAGCCTCCATGCTTTCTTTACGCGTCTAACCCACTACACTTCAAGTAGTCTGTCAGGCATGTAGATGGTCAAGGTCTTCAAAGTGCTCAGAGTTAATTCATGCTGCTTAGGACCAAGTACTAGCAGCAAGCATAATTGCTTTCCATCTGCTCAACCTGTATTTTTGTAAATAGACATTTTATCACAAAAGTTGCTATAATCTCCAGTACTATCTTCTCAGGATGGAAACAAGTGTATAAGAAGCTGTCCCTGGAACTTGCTCTCATTCAAGAGAATAGGAAGTATGAAATCATATCTACTGTAATTTCACATCATATATGTATGAATTTAATATATGATTTTTCATCTTCACACTATTTTCTGGGTATCTTGAACCAATTTTTCCTACAAAATATATGCATTTTTCACTGCTTTTAGTGCAACAGTAAATCAGAATTATACATTGC